CGAAACATAAGACTCACTGTACATGTGAAGTAGACTCTTCACTTATGTTTACAGTATTTGCCTCCATCTTTTGTTGTAAATGTTTTTTTTTCTATAATGTGTACACAGGCGTGGGAACTGTAAGAAAGCATCGGTGGGTCTGCAGTGTGAGATTGGTCTTCGGTGTAGGACGTTCTACGTTCTGTGTGGCTCGGTGCTCAGTGTGTGGAACGAGGTGGAGGGAGTGCTCACACCGGTCAGTGGAACCAACGTAAAGGTGCAGATAATCAGGCTCAGAACAGAAGATGGACAGAGGATAGTAGGTAAGTTGTAGGACTACCACTAGGAAAACACTGTAAAATGTATTTCAGTGTCAGACTGTAATTCAAAGGCTGTATAATGTCATTCACACTGAGATCTACAATACAAGATGCTGCAGGATTCTGTTCAATCACTGTGTAGATCTTAAGCCATCATGTGCAGATCTGTAAATTAGGTCGGCTATAACTTTTATTATTTATGGGCTGTATTACTCAGACTTGCAGATGTTTTCTAAAACACACCATGTCAAGCCTCCGTGTCCTTCACTCTCTAATGGTCCTTGCTGATGTATACCTGGGTTAGCTGTTATTAAATTAAAAATCAATACCACTCTCTATCTGATTAGAATCAGAGTCCAGCTAACAGCTAAATCCATGTGAAGCTTATTAGAGCGATTTTGCCCAATTAGCTTTTAATTAAAACATTAAGTTAATAAGCAACCTTTATGCATAGTATGTTTGTTTAATCCATGAAACTGTTGTGGTTTGACAGTAGATTGTTGAAATGTTTCTGAAATTAGAGTGGCGATTGTCTGAAGTTTTAAGTATCATATTTGTATATTAACGTTCATTTCTTTTCCAGGACTGATCATTCCAGCGAACTGTGTGTCTCCGTTAATCCACAAGCTGTCAACGTCAGACCAGTCCCAGCAGCTGGCTGTGCAGGAGCTTCAGAAACGGCAGCAGCTCCACCCCCAAAGTCTCAGTCATGCGCCCAACACATAGTCCGACGTGGACCAATCCCATCTGACCCTCTTGAGTCCATGTCCCAGTCTGGAGGGATCTGACTCCTCAGTCTCCATCACTGCACTGCAGACTACAGGACCGCTGTCCCTTGTTCTGCACCCTCAACCCCCCCATGTCTGTGAGGGTCCAAGATGTCCCACTGAGCTGTGGCGACTCTTGGATGTAAAGCAGTGGTTTGTACAGAGAAGAGATTTCAGGGTTTTCTTCCTTTTTAAAAAAAAAAATAATAATAAAATCTCTAGAGACTCTTGTTTCACCTCACGAGATTTGACAGGTGATGTTTTTTCCTCTGACATTCAGAGTGAAAATTGTCGTATATAGATGGAGTTGAAACTCATAGGGCAGGTTGGCCTGGGGCTGTTGAGTCATCCACTCCTCCTCTGCTTAAAGCTGTCTGGTTTCAGACTAACCGGTATGGAGCAAAGGCCTTTTTTTTTCTTTTCTTTTCTTGGTTCAGAAAGTCAGAGAGCTACCTTGATTCACTAAAAAATGGGCATTTAATGCAAAACAACAATCTCATATTGATATATTGGAAACCTTCACTCCTAAGACATTCTGCACTGACATTATAAAAGGGTCTCAGATTAAATCAAAAAAGCTATGGTTAGTTCAATTCAACAAGGGTTTGGTTCTTTGTAGTCGTTTCAGTTTTAAAACAGAATTTAGGGGCCCAAATATACAGAAGCCTTTAAAAGGTGTGTTCCCAATCCCTAAAAAAAAAAACAAAGCCCCTACCTTAGATCACACGCTACTTTAGGACACGCTACTTTAAGACATTTATTATTCAGATAAGACAAGAAAGTCAACCTGTTATTACTAGATAATAACAATAGCCTGTTTCTGGTTATTACCTTTCTCAAAGATCAGAAGTGCCAAGTCAGGATATCTGAGTACAGGAGGTAGCTTTAGTGTAAATGTGTTGACCTGATTATTGTTTTAAAACTGTGAGTTTATCCTGTACTGACTGATGTTTGACAAATATGAACCTGCTGTAAGGCACATTTAAGAAGCACCAACAACACTGACAAAGGAAACATTTGGTGATTTTACTTTTTATTTTTAGTGCAATAAAACAATTCCCCCCCCAACGTAATATTCAAACCCTTACAAAATAGTAACAGTGATCAAGAATGAATGTGGAATAACTCCATATTAATCTTATCCAAGCAGTTGTAAACTGATGAAAAGTACAATCAAAAAGTATCAAGATATTGCACTCCAAAAATTCTGTCTTCAGTGTCCTTATAACTTCTCCTTTGAAGATATGTGGTGATGTTAAACTATATAGATTAACTTATAAAGTTTATTCAGGAGGTGTTTAAGTTTTCACAAACTATCTGCTTTTAACTACTTTGTGTTGCAGGTTTGAAAAACAACAGTTTTGGTCTTTACCTGGGACCAAGTTACAAACATTTTAGGTGAGACTGCACTGCTAACTTTCTGAACTGAGTGACAGTCAAAGGAGAGAGAAAAAATATGTTAGCAGCCTCTGAAACAGAAAGTAAAGCAGCCAGGGAACTGTGAGAAATGTATGACAAAATCGCTTGGATTTTTGAGACAGCTTTCGGAGCATTGCCCCCTCTTCAGATGTACATTTTTGTCGTTGATTTTGTTGCCTTTTCAAACCAGAACACTGCTCAGGGGTTCAACTGACACAAAGTCCCTCGTTGGAAAAACAAAGAAAAACTTAAACTAGGTGACTGAAATGCATGACCATAACTCTTAATCTCCTTCTTTACCTCCTTACTCAGTGATGTTACTCTGTGGCTGTGTGGTTAGCTGTGATGCAAACACGTCTCTCTGATTCCTCTGCTGTCTTGAGCCCAGTTGTAATTAAAATGGATGATTGCTTCCGTTAAAACAAAAGTGTGCTTCTTCTGTCCTAAGTCCTTTCCTTCAAGACTGCACTGGAAAGGACAGACCAAATAAAAGTGAGCTGTCCCCAAAACTAACATTTCATATTGGATGTTTGTTCAAATATATTGCTAACCTGTGGATTAGTTCAAGAAGTGTTTATTCTCCTCTGTTTGTTAGTAGTACTTACAAAACAGTGAAATAAGGAAGAAGTCTTTGTATCATATCATTTTGTACACTTTGTAAAGCTTAGATTCTTCATGCAACACATCTTAATTCACTGAAAAGGTCTGCTCTCTGATTGGATGTGTATCTTTTAGTTTGAATATCCAGCATTTTACGACGACAACTCTCTTGTTTTCATTTAGTTATGATATGGGTTTATTGTTTTTGATTGCAGCAGTTTGGCTCTCGACAGTTAAAACACTTGAAGGACTTTTTGTTTGTTTTTTTTTCCCTCACATTACTGCACGAGTTGCACTACTGACATTGAGTTGTACAAAGGTTCAACAGGATCTGTAAATGAATGAGTGTAATGCTCAATAAAGCTTGTTATACTTCTTTGTGCTTTTTATCTGACTACATCCTGAAGACATCCTACAAAGGCCCATTACATATAAACAAGCTTAGAATCATTTGTTTTACACATTGAGACTAACTTTACTCACTAACATTTTTTTTTTTTTTTTTAGAAATTCCATGAGTAGTACTTGCCTTAATGTGTTGTCAGTATCTTTTGCTAAACCAGGTCTGAAAAAAACTTGTCAACTTGACTGTGTAACTTTGACATGGAATCACTGTGAATTACTTTCTTTAGAGTTCTAAATGTTTTCATGACAGAAAATAGGAAACTTCAAATACCTTGTTTCACATACAGTTGAAAACTGGACATTTTACTATCACGTACAACCTCAAGTCCTCATATAGGAGGGAATACAACCTGTAAACATTTAATGATTTTTATTACTTTTAAGATTCGGTTCTATCTTTATCTTAAACTATATGTCACCAGTCTAAATACAATTTATATTTATTTAATGATCTGCAATGTACGATGGTTTTGAATAAATACAATTTGCATCATACATTACACAATTTCCTTTTAATTAGAATAAAAGTACATCAGAATTGTACATACGCAAATAACTAGAGCATGTCTACTTATACTGTTGTCTGAAATGTGTATTTAATACGTTTTGTTTTGTTATTGCTAATACGTCTACAGTTGCGCTTTAAGATAATTCAATTAAACTCATTCATATGTGAATTTTTACAGTATTCTAAATTAAAAATGTTGAAAAAGGCAGTACACTTTTCACATGTTATCTACTCATTTGAGGGTTCCATCCCCCTGTCCCATAGAGGTCCCTGCTGGTCATGACACTGGGGGCCCGGGAGTGGGCCAAACCCCCCTGGTGTGTTGTCCAACCATGTGGCCATTAATGCAGATGATGGGTCACATACTGAGGCTTTAACCGACTCCTGTTCGTCACATGTGATAAAAAAGAAAAGACAAAGAAGACGCCTCCAAAACAAGCGTGGATCCTTTTGTCTAATTCTACTTTAATTCTACTTTTCTTTTAAGCAAAAGCTCTGGAGATCTACAATGGATGCTCCCACACAGAAAAATACAGGTATCAGCAAACTCTCCCCTTTGTCTTTGAGCTCAAACTTAAACAAAAGCATGGTTTGCACAAAAAAAAAAAAACTCGGTAAAAAAATGTAAAATAAAATAAAATAAAATGCACTGAAACTACAGAGTCTTGCTTTAAAATGCGAGTTCTGCCATTAATTTCTTGCAAGTTTAATTATATGTGGAGAGAGAGAGGGGGGAAAAAAGTGTAAACATCTCACATGTCCACACACTTTTTAAAAAAAGATAGTGAATTAAGTGTTTCTAAACTCTACTTTAAAGTCTTCAATTCGATTAAGGCTAACTTAATTTGTCAAATAAGTGTAGAAATCCGTGTGAAAACCGTGAGCGAAATCCGTCACTTAATGGTTGAAATCACCTTTTTAACCAATATTCCCCTTTTTGATAACCCGCAATGGATAGTAGCAGTGTTAGAAGGCATAGTGGGTGTCAATATAAAGTGACGGCCATATTTGCCGGTGCCGCTGTTGTAAACAAAAAGTGAGAGACAGACGCTTCACTGAATTTCGGGTCATTTTTATTTCTTTAATTTACAATGTCTCTGGGAATGTCTTATAAACCCAATGTCCATCAGCACATTCCGGGAACTTCAGGGAACCAGGGTAAGGAGAAAAACCGGGGCAAAATCAAAGTGTGCGTCCGTTAAATCGAGTGTTAAATTCGGGGTCTCGGAGAATACCTGGAGAAAGACCGTGTCTGTAGTTTTTGTCCAGTTATATATATAGGGTCAGATCCTGGGAGCTAGGCTAATTCATATCCGCCATTATTACTAATGTAAAAGAGCGCCATCCGTGATATCAGGCGGTGGAGAACCACGGGTAAAATGTTAAACGAGAAGGTGGTGGTTCCTAAAATGTGGTTATCCGTCGTCCCGGGTCCTGGTCCCGCCGGGTGGGAGCCTTTACGCGGTGACAAAAATGTATCACTTGTGTCTTCTTGAGCCAGCCTTGTTCCGTTTCCTCCATGATGCTCCTCGGTCGGAGCTGCTGATTGATCTGCCTCTGAATTTTTTTTTTTTTTTTATGACTCTTCGAGGACATCTCGCGACCGAGGGTGAATATTACAGCCGAACAAAGCGGCAGGGGAGCGGCGAGAATGGAGGACAAAAACCCCACCAAACCCCTGTTACTTTTTAGGATATTTAAGGAGGGAATTTACAGCAACCTGATATATTGTAAAAAAAATATATAGAAAAAAAATAATATAGAAAGTACAGTAGGCTACTATTATTAAAACGTGAAAATATATTAGTTTTAAAGGTTTGACAGTATTAAAAACAAAATATAGGGTACTTTAGCAGGAAGGCAGCCAATACCAACCAATCCTTTGCTATTTAAGGGGATGAACGGATCTTTTTTTTTTCTTTTTTTTTTAGCAAATTAACTGCTAAACTTTTTTTTTATAACGATTGTGATATTGGTCTTCATTGAAAGTAAAGTAATATTATCATACCGTGACAATACTTAACCACAAGTAAAAGTCCTGCCTTCAAAACCGTACTGAACGTAAAAGCCTGTGTCTATACGCAAAATGCCTTTTGTTTCTGGAAAGTTACAGTTTCTACTCAGGTGCTGGGGGGATATTTTTCAGAATGATCTGAAATTATATGTGCCAAATGAAATCCAAATGATTAAGTAATGCTGAATATTTTGCACTCCTTTTGGCTTTAAGCGTTATGTAAAGTATTAATGCCAACTTGTGTTTGTTCAACAGTTGGAAACCTCCAATCTCCCTCAGCAGCTAACCTGGCCACAATGCAGTCCTACAGGCCTCTTTTGAGTGACTATGGACCTCCATCTCTGGGATTCTCACAGGTAACTGCAAATCTCCCATTTTGCCCGGCTACCACCTATTTCAATGAATGTAGCCTGTCTCCCAACAGCAGAGGGACTTGTAACAGGGGTAAATGTTAACCACATCATAATGTTAATCTCATGTCATTTGGCATCTCTGTGATTTGGGGTCTCATTTTCCTTGTCTTATAATTTATTTGCAATTTTTTTTTCTGTGCCTTTTTTTCTGCTGGTATCCTCAATGAGAATTCAAGATGATGCTTACGTAATCATGAGTGAGAGTTCTGAAGGTGTTTTGGGTGCAAAAAGAGGCTAATCTCTCAACACAGTATGGGGGCAGATTCACAGAAAGAGCACAAGCAACTCTATCTGAAGAGTATATTCTTAAAATGATTATATGGATGACATGCCGGGTGGCAAGTTGCAAAGAAGATTTTATGCTCTTTCATCAGATTCAACAGTTATTACGTTGAACGCTATTAATAGTTGCATTGGAAGCAAATGTCACACAGAGCATTGACATGATGTCAGGGGGATAATGTCGATACAGTTAAGTAAAATAGGGGTTTAGCTTCTTTTTGAGAATTTTTTACATAAATGAAAGCAGTTATATTTAGTTGTATTCTCTTTTGGTCCGTATTAACAGCAGACCAATAGTAAAATATACAATAATCAGATACCAGTACAGTGCACATAGTTAATCTTTTGCTATTTGCCAAAAATGACAGACTCTTTTTGACTTAAAATCAAAGATAATTTCTCATTAAATCACCTGAAGTATGCTGGTAATCAAGTCCTATGCAAATAGGTATTACAATTTTTCACCATAGGAATATTGCATGACCCTTACTTTTTGGTTTCTCTCTCATCTTTTCTCACTGTGATGTCTTCCAGTAGTAAGAGGACTTTTCAAATATCAAAAGTCTTCTGGTGAATTGTGTTGAATTGTGCTCATCTTGCTCTGTTTTCTCTGAATTCAGGGCTCCTCTGGCAGCCAAGTGCCTCAGAACAAATATGCAGAGCTGCTGGCTATCATCGAAGAGCTCGGAAAGGAGATCAGGCCCACATACGCCGGAAGCAAGAGTGCCATGGAGAGACTGAAAAGAGGTAACTATAAACCAGATGAATTATCTTTTTAAATTGTTATCTGAAATCATGCAGTATTGTAGTGTTTGTTTATCTAAATGTGTCTTTCTTCAAAGGAATAATCCATGCCAGAGGGCTGGTGCGTGAGTGCTTGGCTGAGACGGAGAGAAACGCACGCTCCTAGCTAACAAACACACATTCCTCCCCCCCGCAAGAAGAACCAACAGTGTGCGTCTCATGAAACAAAAATAAGAAACTTGCATGGCATTTCCTTTTAAAAAGAGGAAGTAAAACGAAGAAAGGATGGAAAAGACAGCTCCTAGAGTGAAAACAAAGTTACAATAACAATATTCATGACTCTTGAGGGATCATTTAAATCATGTGTGGGTCATTGGAAAGAGGATTATCATGTGTTTTTACGTCCCACTTTCGGGATCTTAAGTTTTGATTTCATATTTAAAATGTTGATTTGTGCATGCGAACGGGCCTGTGGGTTAATTGTAGACTGTGCATGGCTTGTACAGGGGTAGATGGAATAGACTTCTTCTTTTTGATAGTATTTGGTCTGATTTTTTGAGGGACAGAGATGTGCCAAATGCATCCGTTCATTTGTGTTGAGGTTGGTTTTGGTATTAAAAAAAAAGAGGAAAATGCTACTACTTGCATCTTTGTATGTATTTATTACTCAGTGTAATAAATTGTATTTTCAATATAGTTGTCATTGTCTCATTCAGTGCATTTCAGTTATTGTACTCTACAAATAATATATATATTCCTGATCTTACTTGTCGGACTACATTTTAATAAGGAAAGTAAGTCCTCTGGTCAAGGCTGATATAAGCAGCTGAGATTTACTGGAGGTTGATCAAAAAAGAGGATTTGGATTTAGCAGTCTCTTAAAATCCTAGATGTAGGATTACATTTAAGATCCAGAACCTTACAGACTCTGAGATTTAAGAACTTAAAAGGAGAAGTTTTACATAATTTCACGAAGGCAGCAAATCGCAGAGGAAAGTCCCAACAATACAATAAATATCTGTTCAAATCTGCAAAAAATGTCTGCCATTTCTGTTGGAAGACAATTAATGAAGAAATGATCAATGCACTTGTTCAAAATGTGCACTGTGATAAATCATTCATCTTACTTGGTAGCACAGTGTTGTTTCAGCTACTTCACATAAAACACACGAAAAAAATGAAGTCGGTGAGAAAATAAATACTAAATAGACAAAAAAAATATTGTTAAATCAGGGGTATAAAGAGAAAGACTCATATTGTGTATAATGTACTGTAGCCTAGTGCACAATATAAATATAGGAAGCATGTAAGTGCAAGAACAGCAAAGTACACGTTGCTTAAGGCTATACAGAAAGGTAAAGCAATACCATTAAAGGAAAACAAAATCAATTCAAAACACATTTAATATACCTGATAGATGTATCACAATAATAGAAGAATATAACATGTAGGTCTATGTAATATATATATAATGTATCTTGAAGGCCTGGTGCTTAAAACCCAGACATGATTAGGATAATTAACAGCAGATAAATCAGATTCAAGATTCAAGATTCAAGATTTTGATTTGTCACATGCTCATACAGATGTGCAGTGAAATGTAAGGACTGTTCCGTAAGGCCATGCAATAAACACTCAAATTACTAATACACATATATACAGTAAAATAGAATATAATGTAACAAATAAAAAAAGAATTATTTGAATGTACAAAATATAAAATATAGAATAATGTAAACAGTGTAAAGTGTTTTATTTATATTTATATATGTTGAAGAAGGTTAAAGAACTCAAACTGTCTACTTCTGTAATCCCACAGGCGTTCATTTCTCACTCATGTTTTGTCCCAACAGATGTGTACACCTCTTTTCCCCCCGAGCAGCCAATCGAATCACAGAGTGAAACTGACGACCAATCACTGCTCCGCATTTCCAAACCGAAGCTCGACCAATAGGGTTGCAGACTGTGAACGCTACCAGCAGCCAACGTTCACTGCAGTGCAGTAGCCAACCAGGATCTCGCTAGCCCGACTTGACGACTCTTAACAGGAATATGGATGAAATGATGAAACTAGTCAACGGGTAGGTTAATTCTTTTTTTCAATGAAGGCCGTGTGCGCCACCTGTTTCCCCTCTAGATACGGTTTATCATTCGAGTTGTTTGTGTTGTATTTCCGCCTACGTTCACCTGTGCCTACGCTTCGCTTTACAAACCTGTTATAAACCAACTTAGCACAACTTGGCTAGCTAGCTAACCAGTTCCTTTGCCTGCCTTTTGCTATGTTGCTACATAGCTTAGCCTTCTGTCAGGGGGCTTCCGTAGAGTTGACAGGCAACTTTGACAGTCTGCCCGCTTAACAGCATCAGTGGCACTGCCTGACAACGAGGCAGATGAATGAGCCACTGTGGCTTTATTTCCTTGTTCAAATGGCTGCACTGCAATCACCAAGAGATTGTCTGTGCTTGATAGATCATGTTGTTTTGCTGAGTGTCAAATTTGCTATTAACTCAAAACCTAGCAAATTCAAGCTCACAGAAAAAAAAAGCACAGTGCATGACAGACAGAGGAGGGTCGCAGACAGGAGGGTGGGTGCCAAAGCGTTTCATTTCCTCATTTGCTTCAATTGTTTAGGTTTTGTTTCTGTTATGGTAGCGCTTGACTGTTGATGGAGGATGTAGGTCAGACATTTGACATGGATGAAGCTAATTCTCTGCACCAGTAGCTGTGTAATAAACAGCGATTTTTTACATATTCGTGGCAGTATTTCAACAGCTTTTCTCTCTCATCACATATCTGACTAACTCTTGTTTCCCCCCCATTCTCTTGTGTGTCCAGCTGTCAGACTGACCCCCCCTGCACGGGCCCATAAACCATGTCCACAGATGACAGTATCTCTGAGGATGTGTCCAGCTCTGCTGCTTTGAGCCACTGCCACGCTAGTGCAGATGGGGATGGGGGAAAGGAGAGTGAGACCTCTCTGGTTTCCTCAGAGGGGACATCGGCCTCGGGACTGGCTGTCTCTGAAGGCAGACACACGACCTCCCAAACAACAGGAGGCACTGTGGAGAGCAGGCCAATCGACATCACACCAGCATGCAACAAGATCAGGTGCAGTACTTGTTCGAACACTTTTTTTACATGGCCAATTTTCAAATGAGTTGTTTAAGATGGAATATGATTAAGGGTGACAAAGTTTAAGAAAAAAAACAGCTGTTAAGTGTCCAGTCTCAGATGTAGAAAATACATATTTCAAACTATGCTGGAATACTGTTCCAACTTTTCTCCTGTTGCAGTTATTACAAATGAATTTGGTGCTTGTTTTATATTATGGTCATTTTGTCAACTGTGTCCTAACCTGAAATGTAACCTTGACTGTAAAACCTTGTATGCATATATTCAAATGACTGTGTACAGTATGTGATTTATTAGAGTATGACTTCATTACAGGAGTCTATGTCTGAGCACAGATGAAGCGTTCCAACAGGGAAAGAGCCTCCCATTCATCAACCCGAGCTCCCTGGAGACCCTGAGGGCTTTGGTGCAGGAGATACAGAGCAGCGGAGAGACAGACCCCGAGATCTGGAAGGATTGTGAGGTGGGGGAAATATCACAGAGCTTGAAAAGCAAAATGCGAGTAGAATGGGTCAATACAAGCGGATATTGTTGTAATCAAGTTAGGGTTAGCAGTTGTGGCAGTTGGTACTTGTGCCTGCAGCAGCCTCTTTTTAAGCTGTCACTTTTATTGTTTTGTGCAGATCACACCTGACAGTGACACACACACACACACACACACACACACACACACACACACTCACTCAAACATTCACTGCACCACACTGCAGCTGATTCTTTCAGACACAGGATGTGATTTGCAGGGAATGGACAACTGTTCTCAACACAAAGACACCTCCCTGCACACATGATCTTTAAAATGCCATTAATTGAAATAACTGTTCGGAAAATCATCTGACAATTATTGGGGTTTCTTTGCCCTGTAAATGCAAAATAGGGAGGGAAGTGTTTAAGTAATCGACATGGTTCAGTTTGCACACATCTGCAAAATCCGACATGTTTACACTTGCTGGGCTTCACCAAGACTGGCATGGGGACTCTCGTGGAGATAAGGGCTGATGATGAAGTTCACATCACGCTGGCTGTTGTGGCCCTGGGGATGTAGAAAGTACAAATTAGATTTAACTGGATTTTTAATGGACTTTTTACATGTTCAGGAAATAAGCTTCAAACTGTTTCTCTGTGACAATAGAGCATCTGGATAAAGATTTTTGGTAACACACGATTATAATTGATAATTATGGTTTAAACTATTATTTTTGGAATTATTAAATCTGAAGGTTTAACCATAAACCAGATGAATTATCACACAAGTAAACTCTGGAGGGTTACTTCCTCTTTCTCCTGATGGACATTGAGCTTTGTAAAATTCTAACACATTTCCATTGCATCTCCATTGTATCTCATAATATTGACCCAGCTGTGTTATCATAGATTTAGATTTTACTGTGAGTAATGATGATATGTGATTCTTTATTTGCTTTATCTGCAAAAGGGCCGATGGTTGCATCTGTTTCAGCTGGTTGAGAAGCAATACCAAGAGCAAATCCTTAATCAGCAAGAACAATACCAGTGCCAAATACAGGTGAGAATGCCTTTAGTCATACTTTACCAAATGAGCTGAGTTCAGATATTTCCACAGACATATGGAGTAGACAGCCAGTGGGAAAAAGTAGCCAGCTTGGGGCTCGGGGGGGCAAGATAATTCTGCTTACTGCTTTAACACTTGAATTGGCTTAAAAAACGCAATAAATTAGATTTCACATCAAAAAAGGAAAATTATTAAATTTTTATATTCCATAGAAGAATTTTTAATTTAAAATTATTTTATTGTAATACCCTCTCAAGATAGTTCAAATAATATTGGACTGATCTATCTATCTGTTGCTCTACTTCGGGTCGAGAGAGAAAGTAATCGTCAATACGGACAGACGAGAAGACGGAAACTTTTTGGTTTCTTCTGTTTTCTGAAATACCCTTTAATATTGTAATGATGATGACCATCTGTGTGGTAAAATGTAATTTCTTCTTCCCCTCAGCTGAGTGCTACCGCTTCCCCACATTCACACAGTGAGGGGCGGGGTTTACACAGACAGACAGGCAACTTTCATAATTGTAATTTTTTTAGTGGAGGCAAGTTCTTCTTAAATGTACAGGAAGAGCGGGTAACAACTTGTGAATGTAAAAAGTAGCCAGCTGTAATTACGTGAGTAGTTGACTGTTTGGTATACAGACAGAGTTTGTGGAAAGCCCTGTATTTATTTATCCAATTTAACAATGAGAAATTCTTTCTCTTTCAGTTGATTCAGGATGAAATCAAGGCCCTGGTTCAACTCCAGAACCGCCAGGCCTGCATCCAGCCACACACAGAGTTCTCTCCAACTTCAGTGACCAAAACTACAGCAAACACAAAGGAATACATTTTTCCACTTCTCTCCACTGACTGCACAGTCTCCAAACATGTGGCCAGTGACAATGACGCCTGGCAGCCCCTGCACACACGCCCTTTAGCTCCCCTTCACCTCCTCTCCAAAGATCAGAGACGGCTAACAAGGGGGAAGAGCGGGCGACCACGGGGCTCAGCAGCGGTTACGGAACTCTGTCCAACTGGGAAACAGGCCTGGAGCCTGCTGAGTCTCAGGGGGAAGATGAGGATTGTATTCAAGAGAGGGAGAAGCATCACTGGTCTCCAAACTTCCAGGAAGATACAAGGACAATTTTGGTTGGCTGTCGGAAGGATTTTTCCAATGAGAGGGCTCTTATAGAAGAGGAAGCTAGCTCATTAGTCTACCAGCAGAGAGCCTCTTGGTATGTCCGAGTCTTTCTACCCTCTTGCCACTTGCAATATATTCAACATTTAATTTGCTGAGTTTTTTCAGTCTTCAGCAAAAACATATCCACTGGCTGATACTAATATATTTGTGAAAGGCCCATGTAGGCTGACCGATGTGTCAGTTACTCCGATTCCTACTCACCCTGACTTCTTTTCTTGGCAGCACCAGCCAGCCATTGACCTCCTGGGCCCAGAGACAGAAACTCAAGCCCAAGAAGAGCAAAGCAGGGCACGCTTCATCCCAAATCCTGGAGTACCAGGAGCAGCATCCTGGCCTCAGAGAGCCATCCAAACAAAACCAGATGGAGAGCTCAGACTCCCAGGACCAGGTAACACAGTGCTGACAGCTACTCCTTTAGGACAAATAAGATTTAACAAGGATTGTAAAACCTCTGCCTGTGTCTGATTTTGTCTCTATGGGTATGTCTGTTGTGGTTGTCCATTACACTCCTGCTGAGTCTAATCCACTCATCTGTATTGGGTTTCAGCAGAGAGCCATCGGGCCATCATCCAGCTCTTTTCCCTTGAGGAGGAGTGACAGCCTGATGTCTGAGGCATCAGGTAACAATTCACTGACTCAGAGTAAACACACAACAGCAGCGAGACTCTGACAATATGGCCTTGATCAAATAAACAGTACACAAATAACACTTTCTATAAATGATGATACCTAGCTGTAGTTACAGTAAGTGACAGTAAGATGGCACTGTTGTACCACTATGGTCTTAAGTATTATTTGAATGCAATAAAATAATTTTCCTTTTAGATTCCTGAAACTTTCAGTACTGTGCGTTTGCTTTTTACAGTTAAAACCCTAATTTTTATTAGTTTTACCTTGCACAGAGCAAGGCTGACAGTGTGATAATATTTGATAGACAATTGTTTATTTGAATTCACATTTCTGCCTTCTCACTCATATCTTATTGTCTACATTCCAGTTCGTATTTTAAGATTCATAAATCATGTAATATTTCCCTGATGGAAAAAAAAAACAGTCTAGTTCTGTTTAAGCTGGTCTCTTAAAAACATTCTGAATTCCCACTTTTTTTTTGTGGCTCTCAGATTTTAGATTATTTGTTCATTTTATGGATGTAAAAAGACATACAAAGATAGTTTTTTAAAGGCTTAAACAAAAACTACGATTTAGCAAAGAAATGGATTTCAAAGGGATTTTTTTAGGGTCTATTTCAGCAGCGGAAAAATTTGTACATCAATTTGTTTGTAGTTTTGTTTTTATGGTGCATTTATTGTCATTTATAACAATAAAGAAGTTTACAAGACTCCTCTAAAGTAGACAATTTGAGTGTTGCCATCAGTGGTGGAATTATTCAAGAAAAGTGGATTAAAAATGTACAAATGATTAAACACTATATTCATGAGAAATATTGCATAAGGCTGCATTCTGCTCTCTGTCTTAGGCCTCACCTATTGGCGTTTGAATGAGAGTGAACTGTATCACCCTCTACCGGACAGCTTTGACAGCGGCGCCTACCTTCTTCTACAAGAGGCATCCATGAGTCTAGTGAGTGTGAGCTTTGATAAAGTGAGGCCCCTGTGACTAGTTTGATATGGGGCTATGAAGTAGAACAACAATCATATGTAATGCATGTTTCATAAGATTAATATCAAGGCATGATGAAAGTTATGATGAAAATGTTCTTACGTGTTCTAAAAAAGATAAACATTTCAAATCAAATCAAAATGTTTTATGCATTTCCCATTTTTATTGTTCCTTTTTTTGTGTGTAAGAAGAAAAATAACCGGAATATCACCTTTATGTACACATTTCTTTTAAAATCATCAAACCTGTGTTGCAGAACTTTTGTCTCCCTCTTCTGGCAGTGAGAGTAATTTAACACACTTTGGAAGCATGCTTTCTACATTTTCTTTGTGTTTGGTCTTTTCATGTATCTCCTTTTCTTTTTCTCTTAAAGATTTAAGAAAAACAAAACGCTTTGCCTTCATCCCATAGGACAGCTGAAGAGAGACTAAAATATTGAGATCAGAGAGTGGGGAATGACATGCAGAAATGGGCTAGGTATCAGGGTCAACCAGGGGCTGCTGCATCAAGGACTGCAGCCTTTTTAGATAGTTTTTTTTTTCACCTTTGACCATAATCCTTCCAGTGAGCACCAAGTTTCTTTTTCATGTGTGGACCCTTCTTTAGTTTTTTTTTTTTTACCTTTGTCCTAGTTGCTGTAGTCTTTCACCATTGTCCTAGTTTGTAGTTGCTGTCATCAATATAATTTCACCTCCTTCTGATCTGGCAAACATTTTACAGTTAATTGACCAAAAAACATGCCTTTGGCCCTGCATCTTGGAGTCCCACAGACACCAGATTTAAAAAGAACTCAGAGGTCTACCTGGTGTTGTTGGATTAATGACAATCGCTTTATCATCTAGATTTTAAGCAGAAAGAAACAGATTGTACAGATGTTTGGCTGCTGATTTGTGTTTTCTTTCTTCTCAACTTTCATCTCTGTCTCTTGTAGACCCCCACTCAGGAGCCTCGACTGTCCCTTAAAGAGATCTATCAGAACAAGCAAAGGACGGACTGTAAGCGCTTTGACTGGGAAGGTTCTGTTACATCCAGTCCAACTTCACCACAGGTAAGTCAATTTACTTGTTAATCTCTCTCATCACATAGCCTTACCTTGAATCTATTGAATACTTTGATTATAATGATCAATGGGGTTATTTTATCAATAAAGTAGGCTCTGTGTGAACTTGAAGTGTGCTAATGCAAATTGAGTTGCAACCTCAGGCTTTAGTTATTTCTTTGTTCAAAGTTTATTTGTGTTGGGAAAAGTATGTAGCATGTACATCGATGCCACAATTTGTTCCTAATTTGTTATGTCATCCCTCGATGTGCCTCTCAAATACATCATATCAACAATCAACAACAAATACAGAAGGGATAGTCCCAACAAACACACTATTACAGAATCCTCCTTCCTATCTGGCCCATTCTTTGTGCTTCAGGTTTTGACATTGGATCCAGCAGCAAACCAGCGTCATTCAGATCGTACCTCCGGCTTCACTTCACCCTCTCACTTCAGCAGCCCCTCGTTCGCCACCCAGCCCCACATCTACCCCCGAGTAGGGACCCCTGTGACCCCTGACAGCATGGTGGAATGCAGCCCAAACCCCGGAGATACAGACTGCATCTCTGATACCTCCAGTGGTTCAGTGGCCGGACCCGTCCTTTCTAAAGTGCAGACGATGTGGGGGAAAACAGTCCAGTCTACCTCCCAGGATCAGACCCGCACATCCAGCCAGCAGCACAGAGCCAATGCCCCCTTAGTTAGCGAGGAGGAGGGTAGCCACACTCACACCAGCACCCTGAAGCCAGGTTCAGCCTCTGGGTCCACTCTGAGGCCTGCAGCTAGCCCACACATGGAGAGGGCTTCATCACTAGAAGATCCTGTAGTCCTCTCTCTGTGAGTAACACACAGGTTACTTAGTATACTAACAAGGTGTGAAGGGACATTTCTGGATGTTGTTTTAAATGTTAGTCCTTTTACATACTCCTTAGCCAATTCTGTTCCTTTGTATGTCTAAGTTGTTTAGAGACCAAACTATGTGTAAATGACACCCAGGTTTAAAAACAGCAGAATAAACCTTTAAACTGACTCATGACCAGTTAAAACCATATATATGTTGAATGAAGACACAGCCGATCATTTTCAACAACAAAAACTGCAAAGAAATAAAGCTGCTCTGTTTAATGACGGTCCGACCAGTTATTGTTTCCTCTGTTGTTTTTATGACAAGTAGTAGTTACTGTTTAAATGCAATGAGGGTCAGAGGGAAACTGAACTTGCTTAGTAAAGGTCCATCAGAGGGCATCTGCTCAAAACCTTTTCATCCACTGGTTTCTGTATTTCTTCTCAGACTGAGGCAGAACCTGAGAGAGAAGCACTCCCGACACGTGGCCGATCTTAAAGCATATTATGAGTCCGAGATCCAAAGTCTGCGAGACAAACTGAAGCTCACAGATCTGCCCCAGGATTTAGAGAAGAGCAACCAGGCCCTGACAAAGAGGTTTGTACAAGTTTGAAAGTGCATCCATTATTTGTAAAATGTTAACAGTTTGACCCAAAAAAAAAAGGTCTAGATAATAACTTTTCTCTTGTGCGTTCCTCAATCTTCCTCAGCAGATTGAATTGGTTAGTTGCTATAGTGAATCATCCATTCTTTTGTGGGCTTCCACCATCAGGCTAGCTACTATTTTCAAGATCTAGAATGAGCGTTCACATCTGGATGTTTAGCTGTATCGTGCATGAAAATCAAATTTTTTGAAAAAGTCTTTGCTGTTTTAATGATGCAGTGATTGCTAGATTTTAAGGTTAGAGATGTCAGGACACATACATGTAGCCCTGTTGAATTATATTGCAGTCTGGCTGTTTTTTCTTTCTTTACTAATGCTGACTTATTGTGTTCTGTCGATCCATAGGTGTAAGCAGCTGGAGAAAGCTCTGGCTGAGGCAAACAGTCAGATTCAAGAACTAGAGGCCGCAAACAGCTCGCTGGAGAGAAAGCTGGTATTTATCCTTCATCTAAATCAAGCTAACATCTATTATGACATTTTGTTGTGATGGTATTTCATAACAAAAATGTAATACAACTCTAACCTAGAACAGGTGCTGAATGAGAGCCATACAAGACTTTAATTCAGTTTTAATAGGTGCCCTTGCAGGAAAGTGCTAAGAAGGGAATTTTTATTGGTCAAACTTTTATCAAGGGGAGTCAAAGACCTGGAATTGACATGGCTAAATCCTTGCAAAAGAATCCCATGTACCCATTTGAAGATGTATTTTGACTTACTGATTCTCTACCAACAAGAACATCAAGACCCATATTTTACATTTTTTAAAATCTTTTTTATATGAGCTCCACTCAGGCTCTTCAACAGCATTTTGTAGTTTACACCTTTACAATGACAAAAAAAACATTCTATTTTATTCTAAGACTTTCTATTTTATCATTGTAAGCTTGATATTGTTTTGTAAGGTAGCTGAGAGGATTTTGGAAAGAAAAAAAAAAACAAGAAAGCAAAAGGTGATAAGAAGTTTGTCTGGAATAAATGGCCAAAGGGGGTTCTTGTTAAATCAGTTGACATCCTGTGAGTCAGACTGTTCAATTATTCAACACGATTGTCTGATATTTGCACTTCACACCTTGTCAATATTTCAGCACTAGAAGTTGTGTTGACTTCCAAACCTTAAAACTCTGTTCAAACCTGCACATTAAAATTGAAGGTTCATGTTGCCTTTTACTTTTTAATATGTTCTTTTTTCATCAAGGGTAATTTCTTGATGTTTAAAATAATATTCAGCCACTGTCCTGCTCCTTAATTGTGGTGTGACCTTCCATTGTTAGGCTGAGTGGCCAGAGCGGTATGCAGTGGCAGGTGCGACTGTTAAATCCTTGCAGCAGAGATTGGAAGAGAGCAAACGCTCGAGCAAAGACAAAGACGATCTGACAGCACGTCTGAAGAGCCACATACGGCAGCTGGAGGAGGCGATGCAGAGAGCAGGCAGGGAGGCCGATGAGAAAGAGGCCAGGAGGGAGAGAGAGTACAAGATGCTGCAGGATGTGAGTCTGTTTGTGAGAATATAATAAGATAAGAATGTTATAAGTATATGGAGCTCCATATGCATAAAAAGTATCCCTCTTGTATTTGAACTCTCTGTCAAATCTAATGTTGACGTCATGTTTCCTCAGCTGCTCGGGGAATATGACTGTCTGGCAAAGGAGCACGAGGGAGTGAAGGTAAACAGTCGCTTACTGGACGTTATCATTTGATCGTAGTTGAATCATTATTTCAGCAAAGGCTAAGTCATTTATGTCGTGTTTTTCATTCTTTTCTCTTTTTTTTACATTTTTATATCTCCAGAACAACCTGGTGTCAACAGAGAGCAAGCTTGTTGATGCGAACGATCAGATATGTGAGATGAAGAGGTGAGTGGATCATTTGTAGGGTTCAACACAACACTAACAGGGATTAACTCTAAATTTCAATGGGGTTTTTTTTCAAGCTCTTATAAATATCAAAGCGTTAGGGGGTGAAAAACACATTTCTTTCACTGAAATAGTCTCTTGATTGTGTTATAAGTTCACTGCACAACTACAAAGATAACAAAATGAAGCAGTTAGCCTTGATTAGCCTGTCGATTCCCTAATTGAAATCACCTTTTGATCTCACTGGGCACACCCTTTTAGGAACATTTTTTATTTCAGGAAAATCACTCATTCTTCCAGCAATTAAGTTTAAAAAAAACAAACAAAAGCTATTTTCACATCTGTACAGAAAAATATAAAGCTGGAGCCATGAGGTTATCATCGTAGCATTAATACTGGAAACTGGGGGAACAGCTAGCCTGGTTTTTGTCAAGAGGTTAAAACATCGGCCTACTTGAGACGATCAGATTTCAAGAATGAAAATGTTTTGATTTGAAGAGTTTTATGAACCACAGGTTTTTATTTTAAGAGGTGGATATCTGCAGATTTCTCGTCTGGGTGAAGTGACTTTTTGGATTTAATGTTTTTATTTAGAATTTTCCCACCTGGAAATTTTAGATGGCAATAAGAATTGTTTAAACCTTTGGAAAAAGCCAAGGCTAGCAGTGTCCCTCTGTTTTTAGTCTTTATGCTAAGCTAAGCTAAGCTAACCGTTTCCTTGCTTCAACTTAAGACTTGGCCCAGAAATGATATTTCCCAAATGACAGTATTTAGTTAGCCGTTAATGAAGTAATAATTGTAGTTTGAGTTGATCTAGAGGTCAAGTTTTTGGACAAAATCAACACAACCCCACACAAAGACACAACACTTGTTTGCAGAGAAAATTCATGCAGAGATGTAGCCGTACAGTTACAATACAGTAGTCTGGTCATTCTTATCAGGTCTGTCAGTGCCAAACAGATGCACATGGTCATTCACTGGTTGCAGCAGTTTGTGACAGAGATTATGTGCAGAGGATTGATCAATAGAGTCTAATGAGAATCTCTGTTCAGTGGAAAAGTAGATAATAGCATCCTTTGCAGTCACAGCTGTGCCTACACATTGCCTACAGTAGAGGCAAAGTATGGACTCTGGAGTGATGAAGACTGAACAGTCAATTAAGAAAACTCAAAGACTAAAGGAAAACTGCAGTTTGCAGAATATCAATATGTTATATGTGTCATCAGAGGGTGTTAGCATAAAAATGGATGATCTGGAGGGCAGGCAGCTCAGGCAAAAAACTGGAACAGGAGATTTCAAGAGCTCTGTAAGTGACCTTTTAAAAAGATGGTATAATAAAAATACAAGTTTCTACAATGTTCAAGCAACCAAAATACTTTTTACTTTACCAAATGCCAGATAATTCTAATAAATGAAAAGGACAGGTCATAATAAAAGAGTTTTACGTAATCATTTCTTATGTGCACTGATAAAAAGAAGAGTTTGTGTTAGACTATCAAAAGCAGAAGGGAGTAAGAAGCAGGAAGTTATGCAAGAAGCATTAAGTTTTAATGGAGTGAAAGTCAAATATGTCGACAGGATTGTTCTAAACTAAAACAGGAGAAGCAAACTAGAGGCACAATGTGACAGCAGAGAGGAGTTATAATCTACAAGAGACAAAATGTTCACAAAACCAAAGCTTGTTAGAAAAAAAATATTTTCAATGGTTTTTTTTTGTAGTGTATAGAAAATACTGATAATACTACAATACTACTAGAAAAAACTAATACCACTCAGTAGTAGTAGAATATTTACATTTTCATTACTTTACAATGAAAAAGAAAGAAAACAAATACAAAGAAAATAAAATTGACCTTAGAAATAGTATATCAGGTCATTCATACATACATAAATACATACTAGTGTAAATGCATTACACTGTGTTTCCAGACATATAAAGTGCACCTGGCTAAAGCTAATGCACTCTCACCACCAGTTCTACGTGAACCTTTTGCCACACAGGTGGTGATGTTAAAACAGTTTTTTTTAGTGAACTGTATGTTCGTTTTAGCGGCTGCAGGTTGTACCTTGAAACTGTTACACTTTTGTGACAGGTTTCTCTATTATGCTCATCAGTGAAACCGGACAGTCAGGAGAAAGTGACATTTTCCTGTCACCTTTCTGTCCATGTCTTTGAATCTTGTGACCTTGTGTGTCTCTGTTTGTCCTCCTCAGAGTGATCTCCAAACTGGAGTCTCAGGTGAAGCAGCTGGAGCACGAGAACAATGCAAGGACACGATATGCTTCTCACAGTAACACACAACCTTCTGGGGCTGGGTAAGCACTTAATCCACTGATAACCTGTCTCTTTCACATATCTACTGAGCTATCATTACAAGGCTTAATTAAACATATTTGTTTGTACAATTCAAATCTTAAGGTATCGCAAAAGAAAAGCTCAGAGCAGCCCAGCTCATAGTGCTTTACAATGAAGTTGAGAAACAGGAAAAATCATTAAAACAACTCCTAAACTCCTGTTTCCCTCTTGCCATGTCCACAGTCTTTTCCACCACCCTGACCTGCTGCTGTCACCCAGTAAGGGTAGGATCGAGCCTGATGTCACACGCAGAAAGTCGCCCTGTCCTCTATCTGATCAGGTACACAGCGGAATAAAATCTCCATTTCATCAGACTAACCAATCAAGTGCCCATAAGAAGCCCCAGTATCCAATCAATGATCAGTCATCAGGAACTGGAAGCTCTTTGGAGGCCTCTTCAGGAGGTGCTGGCTGGAGGTGGGTTTTTTTTTACAGTTGTGAGGATTTTTTCTCAACCAGCCTTAGTGAAGATTTTAGGGGATTTACTGGGTTCCTTTTCTTCAGGTGTGCGTCTCCTCCTGAGTGTGAACAGTCCCTTCCTCAGTCCAGACACCAGGAGCAGAGTGGTGGGCATCAGGAGGGGAGTCGCAGCACCTTGACGCCCATGATGAGGGCTCTGATCCAGCTGGAGGAGACCAGAGCCACGGAGAGCAGGGCCCCCTGTAAGAACAGCTCCACCTCCATCCACAGTATGACTCACACCTACTAACAAGGCCTGAGCAACCTGAGTAGTTAATCGATTTAAATCTTTACAATCCAAAAACAAGTTCAAAGAAGTAACTTTAAACTTCAAACAGGACTCTGATATTCTTCCAAATATATGTTCCTATGATTAACCAAACTACTGGTAGACTTTGTGTTTTATTCTTTTTGTTGTTTTGTTTTTCTGATACCAGCTAAAAGGTTAAAAATACTGCAAACAAATAGCTAGCTGCTGTTGTCTCAGTGTTTTTTCCATGGTGTTGCATAACATTTTAGGGGTGTTCATGGGTCTGAAGTGACAGACCTGAACCCTTTTGGACTGCAGAAGTTTGTTTTGTGATTGGATTTTATCCAAATCGTTTTTACACCCAAACTTTTATTTTCCTTTTAAACTGAAATTGTGACAAAGTTTACATTATTGGCCTTACACACGCAATCTGTTTCATTCATGCTTTGAGACAACAGGCAGTTATTCAGGTCACTTTTCTAGGTTTGAATAGACATCAATCACAGCAGAGCCTGAGATGTTTCTTACTATAACTAGGACAGAGTTGGATAGATGATCTAATCGACTGGTTGTTTCAGCTTTCAATCTTTTTTCCAAATCAACCCTAGTTAATAAAATCTTTGTGTAGAATATGGTAAATATTTACACAATGAATAATGTTTGTTTCTAAAGCTCACCGTATCTGCATGGTTTCTCTTTGCAGGGGTTGGCAATCAGAGGACGACAGTCGGGTTCGTGGAGCGGAGACACAAGGAGGTGATTCAGGATCAAGTCGAGTATCCAGCCAACCATGAGGGGATCAAACCCGGACACGCTGCACCTCGAACCGAGCGAGTAGGATCAAAAAGTCTAAATAGAGCAGCAGCTCTTCTGAGGGCTCAGAGGAGTCTGTCCCCAGACGGCCATAGATCCTCCTCACTCCCTCCTCCAGATCAGAGAAACATCTCCCCAACTACACCGAGTGAGTCCTCCCAACCTGTTCACGCTCTCATCTCCAACAAGTCTTAAAGTGCACAAAATCCAGCTGTGTTTTTGATATACCTGTCAGCCGCTCGTCTGTATCCTTTCCCTTGTCAGATCAAACATTAGAGTTCTGATAGGTAAAAAAAAATCACAGCCAGCTAACTGCTGTAGAAGAAATGATGCTACACTTTTCCAGTCATTTCTACATCTCCAGACAGTAACAGCTTTCTGTACTTAACCAAAAACTGTCTGGACAATCTTCTTTTGAATGTATGTATGGATGTATGAAGTTTTAACTAACAGTGCTCACTTTTCATCCATCCAGCAAAAAGAGAAACTCTTCTCATGCCCATGTCTGCAAAGTCGAGTCCTAAACGCTGCCCCTCAGAGAACTACTCCACTGCTTTTGGTCGTCCGATGCCGAGAGAAGAACACTTTATCAAAAGGTGAGACACAAAACATGAACACAAATTAATTGACTGGTTATTGGACAACGTAAATATTCTTCAATTGCATTGATTTTTAATCAAAGTCCCCAAAAGAAGGAGATATAATGTCTCATTTTATGACTGGACAGCAAGTGACAGTGAGTGCATTACATGAATATAAAATATAAATATGAATGTTAAAAAATCAAAACAAACATGGTGTATATTCTCTGCAGGTTTGACGGGCAGGTTGACCAGAGACGTCATTCATTTCACAGCAGCAGCCCCAGAAAGAGACTCCAGTTCATGTCTGCAGACCGAGACGATGGTAAAACATTCAGACTGCTTTACATTTAGAAATAGAGGTCAAGTGAAGAAAGCGAAAAAAACTCAAATCATGTCAGAATGAGGTGCACTTCAGGTCTGATGTTCTCTACTGGTTTGACCCGATGTATTACAGATTGATTTCGCTTCAGCCTCCCCCCTCTAAATATTCAGGATTTTTAAAAAAACAACAGAATTTGAGCATGTTTTGAATTTGTATCTACTGTTTCAGATTTGATCTAGACTCAGGCTTGATTCATTTGAGACTTGTTCATGCTCATTAAAAGTCAAACATCCTGCATGTTCTTAAAAGATATCAAACTAGGACTAATGACCCATTTTAGATGCAGCCAGATTTCTTTTTCATATTTAATAAATGGTCAAATCTTTTTTGGATCTCAGTCTAAAATAATTTTTGAGATGTTCTGTGTTTAACACTTCAATTGAATATCTGGTGATAGTAGGTGTAAAAACCTAAACCAATGGCTTCACAACTTCTTTGTCAAAAATCCAGCTTTAACCTGTAACTAATTCTGTTTCTGCCCTCAGGCCTTCAGCAGCCTTCACAGTCCACAGGCAACGTGAATCCCCCTGAGGGAAACTGGCCGTCCCAGCTGGGCTGGGAGAGGCAGGCAGCCTGTGCTGGATCTGACCCCCAGGACCCCTGTGAGGACTCAGTCCCTCTTTTCGTGGACAGACTCCACTCACTGGCTGAGGCTGAGAAACTGTTTGATGAGCTGACACAGGAGAAACTGCAGGTAAGTGTTTGATCAGAGGGTTTCACAGAAAACTCAAAACACAGATTTGTTTCCTCTTGGTTTACTCAGCAAAGGATTAGTACTGAGGGGCAGTGTGAAGTATGGACAAAAAAGAAAGACACCGGTAAATAGATGTATTAAGGTACATGAGATGAACTTGGTTTTTCTGTTTTCATTCTATCATTCCACTTACACTTCTACTCCAGTACATTCAGGTGACAGCTTCAGGTACTTCATGAATTAGGATTTTTGCACTTTAAAAATATGATCTTCTAAATTAAACTCCCTGAACATTTTACACAAGGATGACTAAACATTATCAACTGACAGAAAATGTAATTTTCGTTGCTTCTGATATTCATGGGTCCAACTTCTAAAATGTGAGGATGTAATGCTTTTCTTTAAATTAATTTGTTTGTTTAAAATCACATTTTAGAGGTTTTGACTGTTATTTAGACAGAACTAGCATTGACAGAGTCTCTTCTTGGACTCTGGGTCATAATGACAATATTTCTCACACTTTTCAGAATACTTCCCAAAAACAAACTCTCTATCAATTCAAAGTACTTTACAGAGTTCAAAACAAAATATTTACAACATTAAGAGCAGTCATAGACATGACATGTAGCAACAAAAAAAAAGACATTTATTTATTCTCCTTCTTCTTTTTACAATTTACTTCTAGCAGAGTTTTTTCATTATCCTTTATACTTGAACTATAAGTAAAAGTTTTGAATTGCTCTCCACCCTGCAGGAGAGACGGTGTAGTACCCAAACAGTACAACTCTTATCCCCCCGACCTCTTATGTAACAGACTTTATTGTTTTTGTCCCACCGCTAAATGACTTCTATTTTTAGGACGTTCATATTCACACACCCCATCCACCCCTCCCCTCCCTCTGTCCCGGTTTCACACAGACATCTGCCTCCCCATTTACAAAGTATCCACTCATCATTCCCCATCACACTTATCTAATTAATGAAAGTGTTTCAGTCCATCATGCGAAAGTGGTTTCATCAATATAATCATTTTTGTTAAAGAATGATTAACTTTTTGTGTGTGTGTGTGTGTGTGTGTGTGTGTGTGTGTGTGTGTGTGTGTGTGTGTGTGTGTGTGTGTGTGTGTGTGTGTGTGTGTGTGTGTGTGTGTGTGTGTGTGTGTGTGTGTGTGTGTGTGTGTGTGTGTGTGTGTAGATTGAGGCAGCTTTGAGCCGAATGCCTGGAGCAGGAGGTCGAGTGAGTCTACAGACCCGGTTAGACGAGGTAAGACCAAGATATTGATATTGATATAATGTTCATTTATTTTACCAAGTTGTTTCTTCTAAATAGTTTTTTTAAATTAAATTACATTTGTTCTTTCCAATGTTTGAACTGTCTAATTTGCTGGTTTTCTTGTTTTTTTTGTCTCATTTAATTAATGTCAATAGTCGGTCAGTCAATATATAAAAATATCTAATAATAATAAACTTTATTTATACAGCACTTTTCAAAACCAGGGTTTACTTATGCCACTAGAAGATGTCACACGGGCAAAGTATAATCAGGATTTACATGTTTTCATCGTTTAATTGAGAAAACAAATATATATTCTCATGTCTGTTTTCATTTGTGTCTAATTACATTTCCCTTCAACTGCACAGCTGGGATGGTAAATGGATCAATTGCATGATAATCAACTTGAAACCATTTTTAGAATGTACTGACAGATCATTTATTTTTTAAGCTTTACTGGCATTCAGCTAAATTATGGCAGTTTTTGGTACACTCCTTTTCTAAACACCTGAACAGTGGATTCATATGAAATGTTGTATTCACATTCATGGTTCTTTAAGGTTTAATCCCACTGACACTCAGAGTGTGTCGCTCCACCAGAAGGTCAAAACACCAATCAGCCTCAGCTGTACTTTGGTGCTTTTAAGCAAATGTTGCCATGCTAATGGTCTAAACTGAGGATGTAAACATACCTACTAAACATCAGTAGCATGCAGATGATACCACTGAACTCAAACCCCTGCTGTTCCCCTCAAAGCCTTTGACTGTAGTTTTTTAACCTGTGCACTGTTTTGTGGCGTTTTCTGGATCAAATCACCAAGTGTTACTGTTTCCTGTAAAGGTATTCAAGATAGATGAAAGCTATGAATTCTTGTTTCTTTGTTGACATTCATCAATTGATGAATTTACAGTATGTGGTGATCATTTTCTCAATATTACTTTATTTTCCTGCCTCTGATCTTCAGATCAGATAAACAAGCCCAGCATATATTCCCAAAGCCCAGGCACAACTTGTTTTCCTTGTTTAGTTAAACTTAAGTCTCAAACATGCTTGATTTTCATGGACATGAAACTTAAAGCTTTACACTTAACGCTTAAAGTTTTTAAAGCTTTACACGGCTTTGCTCCTCCATACATCACAGATCTTATTTCATTTTATGTTCCAGCCTGCTCACTCAGGTCCTCGAATGCTTCTCTTTTAAACATCCCTCGTGTGAGCCACACAAGCACCGGAGAGAGAGCTTTCTGTTTTTATGCCCCCAAACTGTGGAACTCACTGCCTCTGGACATCAGAACAGAAAGCTCTCTGGGTTTTTTTTAAACACAAACTGAAGACCTGCCTTTTCAATCTGGCTTTTAATTAGGAGTTATTTTACTGCTTTTATTTTTTTCCTTTATTATTCTTTTTACATTTCTTTTATCTCTGGTTTTTGTATTTGACTTTTGTGAAGCACTTTGGGCTGCATGTTTTTATGTATGAAAGGTGCTATATAAATAAAGCTGAGTTGAGTTAAAGCACCAAACATAAAGTAAAGCTGAAGCTGATGGGATAGTCATTTCTTTTGACCTAACAGTGGCACTAGAGGGAAAGTTTATGAGTCACCATAGTTACCCAGGATTAAATCTTTAAGCTCTTTAGATGAGTAATGCATTTTTTGCAATCCAATTAGTTGTGTTAAAGGTCCCATATTATGCTTTTTCTGGTTTTATATGCCATTAGTGTGTTTTCCAAGTGTCCTGTGTATGTTTAGACACATCTATGTGCAAAAATTCAAAGTCTGTGGAAACGCGGCTTCTCCTACGTCCTCCTGTTAGCTGTAGCATTAGCCGCATGTAACGCTCAGTTCTAGCCCCCCTCGATATAAATTTGTCAGTGCGGCGTCATTGTCAGTGTGAGATCACTGATCTAAGCCCATTGGCTCGTTGTGGCAAGCCCTGCAGCTCAAATTTCCGAGAAGCGTGCTGAGCAACTGACCAATAACGACAGAGCGGATCGGCAGACCAATCAGAGCAGACTTGGCCCACGTGGGGTCTAACAGTGTGGGCTCAACAGAGCGTAGCTGATGGACTCAGAGCGTAGAGGGAGCAAGGAGGAGCAGTACATGAAAACAGACACTTTTTTTGGACTTTATCTATTGTGAACGTACAAAAGTAGGTACATAGATTAAATATACAAATCCCAAAAAGGGCAGAATATGGGCTCTTTAAAATAAGATGTTGCCAGCATGAATTGAATACAATTATGAACTGATAATAAAAGTGATGACTCCCTCTCCCAGGTGGCCTTAGAGAAACGTCTGGAGAGAGTGAATCGTGAGCTGGGATCGATCCGCATGACCCTGAAGAGATTCCACGTCCTCCGCACCTCTGCCAACATATAGCAATGTCTGTCTTTTTACAGTGTAGATGCTACAACTTAGTGTCTCTGCTTTTTCTTTTTTTTACAGTGCACTGATTGTCGTTCAGTCTCTTTTAGTGCCATAAACTCATCTGTATGGCAGCATCTTTTTGTACGTATTACTTATTACTCTGGGAAATTTTTTATACGTCTGAAAGATATTGAAATTTTTGAAGTATATTTTTAGTAAGACACAGATTTGTAAAGTCGTTTACTTTTTATCACAGAAATATTAATATGACATGTTTTAATCGCCATATTGAGGTGTGGATTTTTAAAATGTTTCAGTGTAAAGTTGACTTTCCAGCAGACACATTCTTCCACTTGGGAAATATTACTGCCATTTATCTTCATGTGTTTTGTTGACATTTTCAATATTTTGTGTTTTCCATTTGACACCACTTAAATCTATTTATTTCATGTTTTGTACATCAGATATCATTTTTCGGTGCATTTTATACATTTTTTTGTTGCTATGATTTTTTTTTTAATGGGGCCAAATTGAACAAACATGAAGGAAATATCTACTTGAATTCAGTTGCCTTTTTTTCCTTCGTTTACTTTCAATAATTACTCGTCACTTTGCTTGCTTTATTTTTCAGTATTGCTATTCTTGATCAGAGCCACCTGAAAAATCCAAACCAGCACACTTCTCAAGTGTCACACACACAAACATTTCTACACAGATCTTTGTTGGTTGATCAATGCTTGTGCATGGGATTTCTTCTTTTTGCCATGCAGACTTTTCCTACATGAGATGATGAACTACACTGGAACTATAATATTGTTGTTGCACAATAAAAGAAGCTTTTTTTTGATAACTGTTAGTGTTGCTCTGTTTATTTCTTCATTGTGATGGACTTTGACTTTTAATAGTAAAACCAGACAAAGCTAAGTTATACCGACAGAACATGACACACATGAAAAGATCATAGTTTTGATCAAAATATTAAATCATTCAAAATATTAGGGTAACTTTCATTATACTAATTGGAAACATTAGACAGTGTTAAATATGAAGTGTAGGTCAGTATTGCTTTCAACAACAACCTTAATAATAAAACACTTTTATTGTCTTTGTGAATGTAGAACTTTTTTGATTTGTTGAAGTGTCCCCAACAAAGTGGAATTACTATTTAGAGTAAAAATCTTCACTTATTTTGCATATTCTCTTAAAATCCAACAAAAAAGAAAAATTCATCAACAACAAATTAATTAACTAATGCAAATGAATTAATTTAAGAAAAATAGTAGAATCAAATAAAATGATTTGATCAAACATGAAATAATCAACTATTAAAATCGACAAATCTGTAATATATATAACTACTCAACAATAAGCTGCAGTTTATTAAGAGAAATCTACAACCACTGGCCATCCTCCATTATGGGTAGTCAGTCCCACTCCCCCACCCAACCACGACGCCCGTGGCTGCAGGCATCAGTGCAACGCTTGGGGGCGCTTTTCTACCTCATTGTGTGACAGGAGGACGTCCTGTCTGCTGATGTAACCGTTAACCTGGGTCCCTCACCGGGCACCGGCAGCACACAAACGACTACACACCGTGTGCACAGGACGCCTGTGTGTAATGATGGAGTAGCAGCCGGACTGAGAGGCGCACACAAACACCGGGGAATGAACGCTTCTGTGTGGGCGGAGAAGGACGGACACCCGGCCGGCAGTGTAGAATATAAACACCATCACGGAGGCTTGTGCGAACATAACGTTGCGGCTTTAACCCACAGTGATGATGCATTCACTGTTTCTGCAACGTGGTGATCCAGCTGAATAAACCGGGACTGTAGGTGAGTCAATCATGTTGAATGTTGTTGTTTTCCTGTTAAAAGGCATCGTCGCACTCAAATGCAGCCTGTCATTTAAATAGCAAACTGACACGAGGAAATGTTATTTGGTTGTGTTTGAATGGGCTGCAGGGATCAGGTGGCATCCATCATTGTAGTTTTATTTATCTAGAATTAATTGTATTTACCTAGAAGCGACCAATAGTCCGTATTGAGTTCATTTTCAAGAGAGTTCAAGAGAATACTATAGCCCAGATGCCTGTCTGTGTTGATATTAACTTAATATAGGCCTTAACATAGGCTATTATTCAGTCTCTTCAATTACAACCAAGCAGAGCATTTAAAGGTTGAAAAAGCCAGACTGACTATCATAACCAAAACTTAAGGAAGTAGGCTATTTAAGAGTGTTGTGCATGTTTGAAAGCACCATTATATTAAAAAGAAATTATAAATGAAAAATGAATTGCAAAATTTCTTGAATACCCTAAACAGGACTTGAGCGTTCTTAAATATGCAGTCCTAAATGTGAATATATTCATTTTGTAGGTCAGCTCTTGCTTACTCACTGAAAACTCCTGGTGTCCTTGCTCCAGATGTTCTGTACGTCCTGCTAACAATGCATGCAGCCACAGAGCTGGAGCTATTCTTAGACACTGAAGGTGAAATGACTATAGAGGTGGAGTTGCTTTTGTGTGATCCTCACCTCCCCTTTAACTCATTTAGACCAATGCTGCGATGGAGTCTAAACTCCAGAGGAAGGGTGTTTACACCTTGAGAGACTCTTGTCTCTCATGCTGACCATCCACCATGAATGTCTGCACCACATTTTTTGTACCATCCATCAGCAAGCATGTTGAGAATTTTGAAAGGTCAAGTGGGAACTTCACCTGTTGGTGGAAGCCCTAGAGGACAAGCCAGAGCATCATCAACATCTTCACATTGTATTCCCTTGGGTCCCTTGATATTTTTCTTTTCCTTGTTTACCTAATATCTCTTTATCTTTATTTCATGGCGATCCATGTAATAAGAGTCAGACCCTTAATAGGGGCGTTAATGTTTGTGCAAGACAAAAAAAAATAGATGTCGAGAAATTTCTCTCCAGACTGGAAATGTAAACTTTATATTGGCACAACAGGAAAAGGCAGGGGATCACTAATGACTTTGAGGATATCAAATGTCTGCCACAAATTGTTTGGAAATCCTTCAAGAACATGTTGTGATAATTATCAGGATAAGTGGAAACATGAATGTGCTGGTGGTACTGTAGGACCTCAGAAATATATTAAAGACCATGGAATGCTTTCGCGTTTATCCTCTGAGGACATTAAAGATACGTTTAAAATGTTTTAGCAATTCATCAAATTCTCAGCCAAAACAAAATGTTGACCTCTTTTTTTAAAGGAAAATTCAAGAGATCTTTAAGATAAGTTGCGATTGATCGTCTGTGAATTATGAACATCTTGAAATCCATCTCACTGTTGTTTATGTACTTTGCTAAAACAAAAGGAACAATTGTCGACCTCTTGGTAGTAACCCTAACCCTAACCCTAGAGGAAAGGCCCGGGGATGACGAAATCATTAAGTTGTGATTTTGGGACCACGACTGTCTGTGCATGATTTCATGAGTGTCATTTCAAGACAATCCGCTTTTAAGTTGTCGACACATTTCAGTCCAAACAACATACATGAAACCCCTAGAGGAAATGTCAAACTATCACCAAGTACCTGAAGCTCAACAGAGAAAAGCCACGGTCCTACTGGAAATTGGAATTAATAATTTTTCTGTGAATTTATTATTATTGGACCTTGACTATAATTTGGTCATAAACCATCAAATGTACGACTCCAGATTGTTTAAAATTGGAATTTGTGTGTTCACTCAAATTCGCCCAAGTCTTGGACCATGAGTGTAAATGCAAGACTTCATGATACTCCATAATACTTGTTGGGATAAATAAGTTTAGACCAAAATGGAGGCCATAGATTGACATTTCCCTCGGCTATCCATGGATTCAATCTCCTTAGCAGGGCTTTAATTGTCTTACTGATTATCAAATGATTGCAGCAGCTCTTTAAATTGGTTTCATGCAGCTTCTTAATCAACCAAACCATCGGATACGTTCCTTAATGCTCTGGTTCTGTTTCCTTCCATTTCAGGTCCAGTGTGCATGATTTTAATGTGTGTGTGACGGAAGATGGAGCCTCACAGGATCTGATTATGGTGCCAAAATGATTAGGTTTGCTTTGATGAATGCTGTTAGGAAGTGGCCACCGCAGAAAGAATGAGTCACCATATTGATTGCCGCCCTCCTCCTTTAGTTGCTACTTCTCACTAGAAACCTCCCTACCCTCCCTCTCTTTCTCTGTTAAATCAGTCCATCCATCCTTCAGCTTGAAATTCATGTTTTTTGAGTTAATTTTTTTCTCTCCATCTCTTTGTGACGTGCCAGATACCCCGGACCCCCCCCACCACCTCTTCCCCATAGATACGTCAGAGAGGATTTGCAGAGAGGTGGCATGCAGCCAAGCTGAGGGCTGCATACCAATAAGTGCATGAGTTGCTCTGCTCTCAGGTCTGGATGAGGGAGAGAGAGAGGAAAAGGGAGGGAGGGGTGGGGGTCTTGTCACGAGAAGCCACGTCATTGCAGTGTGTGGAATCTATTTTTAGCAGCGTAAACAGAGGGATTCCAGCCCACTGATCATGGCTACACAGTGAGAACTGGGTGGTGGGAGGCAGGAGACGCTCTGGATGTGAATGAACGACACTTTCCATTTAGTCCTGACTGTCTGCCTAATGCGTCGCTCCCCTCCCCTCCCACCGCCTCTGCCTGTCGAGGAGAAACACTGCGCCACAAATAGCTCGATGAGCTCCCAGTCTGACGCTTTTCTTCTCTGTACTTTGCTTCACATGCATGAACACATGTGCCGTCTCTTAATACAGGAGCATGTAAACAACAAATACAGTGTATGGCACTTTTCTGAACAGATTTAAGATTTCTTGCACTAGAAGATTGTACATGAGAGGGTAAAACCCAGTCATGTTCGGGTGTGGGGGATTCATAGCTGTCACATTTAGCCATGTTTGCAGTGCTGGCTTTGAGCACTTAGTCTAATTAACAGTCCAGAGGCTTTGTGCGGATGCAGCGAGGCGTTGTGTCCTCATCAAATATTCACATACACACATATTCAACACTGTGGACCACCTCCCCTGTTCACCTGATACTCAGAGCGTCACTGTGTTAGTTAAAAGTAATCTCTGAGCGTCTGTTTGCTCACAGATTGGAGACCGATTGGTCGTCATCATAATGGCTCTGTGAGGCTGAACTTTCCAGCATTGAAGAGTTTAACTTGATGTTTAAATGCTGTCTGCAATGGGCTTAATATTTACCGGGTGTACCTTTTTTGTTGTTGTTGTTGTTGTTGTTGTTGTGTTAGCATGATAATATTTTTTGATAACCACTGAACATAGAGAAGAGAGATGCTGCCATCACTGTTTTAGGTGATGGTGCAAGTGGGAAAATGATTATTCCCCAAAGTTATTTATCCTCTGGGGATTTTTGAATGTTTTTTGATAAATTGAGTAGATGTTGAAATATTTATTGTGATAAGTGTAATCTATGACCTGCTGGTGGCACTATAGGAAAGGTCAGGAGATCGTCAAAGGATTAATTAACCATCTACCATGAATGTTTGTACCACATTTGATGTTAACAAATCAGATCTTTCAGTCGGGAACATGCAACAAACATTTGCTAACTTTTAAGCCAAGCTGATAGCATTGTGAAAAAAATCCTTTAAGAGAGAGAAACCTTGAGTCTTTGTGGTTACTTAATCTCCAGGACAAAAGTGGTTTAAAGGTCCAAATGCACCAGCACTTCTGAAGGTGGACCCTTGGAGGTTCTGGAGTTGTACAGGGCGACTGTGGCCCAGTTGGTAGAGTCTTTCAACCGGAAGGTCAAGGGTTCGATCCCCAGCTGAGCAACAGCGCAGATGTGTCCTTGGGCAAGACACTTAACCCTGCAT